CAATAAAGAGGAACTTCTTCATCTATCTCTTTCGAAAACAAAAATAATGTACAACACTGACGTTTTGAAGTTTTCGGCATACTATTACAGAGACGTGTTAATTAAATTCAGACCTGCGAAAACATAGTATATGGTGTTTACCAGAGTGCAATGGATAGAAAACAACGATAAAAATTTCAAAAGCATATCGTCGGCTTGATCAGCAAAATGCGTAACTCCACCTTTTGGTGAAAACAGGGTTTTAGCGACATCTGATGAAAGATAATACTGTCTATGACCCAGAATGAACCGTTTCTCCAAAATACAGCGCGTTAATTCACATTTTCCAAAGGAGAAATCTCCGTATAGCCTCTACCGACAATAACAATCTGCAAAATGCGTATGTCCATTAGTTCTCATAACTTCCAGGTTGCACGTGTGAGTAAATGTGCTATAGGAGTTCCCCGACCGATTTCAAAATTCTAAGTCATTTTTCCCCAGATTCTACGGAAATTCTATGCTGCACGGCGGAAAGCCTCATAAGAGCCCATGTGTTAGAGAGAGACAGACGATGCGATTTTTCCCCAGATCTACGGACTTTTTCCATGAATTTTAAGGTCCATTCTGGTCATTTTTTACGCTTTCAAGGTCATCCGTCTCCGACGAGTGAGAACGGCGATTCTGGTGCTGCAGACCTCTGAACGCTCTCAAATAGGATTGTTCGATGGGCCCTAAGGGGAGTATACCTCAACTAGGGCCAGATAGTGAATATTATGAACGAAAATCAAGTATTGAAGGGCCTCAAGGGCCAAGTAGTGAATATTATGCCAACTATAGGTTGTTGTATATCAAATGAAAGGTCTCTGCTCGAAATTTACGAAAATCAATTTTTGAAGGGTCTCAAGGGCCATATAGTGAATATTATGCCAACTATAGGTTGTTGTATATCAAATGAAAGGTATCTGCTTGAAATTTACGATAATCAATTTTTGAAGGGCATCAAGGGCCATATAGTGAATATTATGCCAACTATAGGTTGTTGTATATCAAATGAAAGGTCTCTGCTTGGAATTTACGAAAATCAACTTTTGAAGGGCCTCAAGGGCCATATAGTGAATATTATGCCAACTATAGGTTGTTGTATATCAAATGAAAGGTCTCTGCTTGGAATTTACGAAAATCAACTTTTGAAGGGCCTCAAGGGCCGAGTAGTGAATATTATGCCAACTATAGGTTGTTGTATATCAAATGAAAGGTCTCTGCTTGAAATTTACGAAAATCAATTTTTGAAGGGCCTCAAGGGCCATATAGTGAATATTATGCCAACTATAGGTTGTTGTATATCAAATGAAAGGTCTCTGCTTGAAATTTACGAAAATCAATTTTTGAAGGGCATCAAGGGCCATATAGTGAATATTATGCCAACTAAAGGTTGTTGTATATCAAATGAAAGGTCTCTGCTTGGAATTTACGAAAATCAACTTTTGAAGGGCCTCAAGGGCCATATAGTGAATATTATGCCAACTATAGGTTGTTGTATATCAAATGAAAGGTCTATGCTTGGAATTTACGAAAATCAACTTTTGAAGGGCCTCAAGGGCCATATAGTGAATATTATGCCAACTATAGCTTGTTACCTATCAAATTGAAGGTCTCTGCTTGGAATTTACGAAAATCAACTTTTGAAGGGCCTCAAGAGCCATAGAATGATCATTATGCCAACTATAGGTTGTTGTATATCAAATGGAAGGTCTCTGCTTGAAATTTTCGAAAATCAATTCTTGAAGGGCCTCAAGGGCCATGTAGTGAATATTATGCCAACTATAGCTTGTAACCTATCAAATGAAAGGTCTCTGCTTGAATTTCACGAAAATCAATTTCTGAAGGACCTCAAGGGCCATATAGTGAATATTATGCCAACTATGGGTTGTTGTATATCAAATGAAAGGTCTCTGCTTGAAATTTACAAAAATTAATTTTTGAAGGGTCCCCAAGGGCCAAATAGTGAATATTATACAAACTATAGGTTGTTGTATATCAAATGAAAGGTCTCTGCTTGAAATTCACGAAAATCAATTTTTGAAGGACCTCAAGGGCCATGTAGTGGATATTATATCAACTATTGCTTGTTACCTATCAAATGAAAGGTCTCTGCTCGAATTTCTCGAAAATTAATTTTTGAAGGGTCCCCAAGGGCCATAAACTGAATATTATGCCAACTATAGGTTGTTGTATATCAAATGAAAGGTCTCTGCTTGAATTATACGAAAATTGATGTTCGAAGTGCTCCAACTGCCATAAAGTATCGATTATATCACTTATAGGTTGTTTTATTTGTGACATAAAACCATATCAGGAGGCAAACGTTCGAGATACCATACTATATATCACAAATGGGCATAAATCCTATAGTCGTTCAAACAGATGGAAGCGGCTACAGTCCTGCCACATATGCGAGGCAAATTGAAAAATCATGAAACATCAATGATCGTAGAGTATGAGTTGAATCTGAACAATCTAGTGCATCTATGGAAGATATCCCAAGGTGCATTACTGATGAATTACTAGGTTGCAACCTAGCAGAGCGTTGAAAATCGAAAGAACTAATTGCGAAAAAATAAAAAAAAATATTTCAATGTGGAGTACAGTTCACACCATCTTATATATAAAAAAACATTCCATATATAGAGAACCATGGCGCAAACCATATCAAGAGGTAGACGTGTTCGCAATTATCTTTAGTCTCATCGAAAAAATCGCTTCAGGTGTGATGGAATTCAGTTTAATTAGCTACATTATAGACGAATCAATACGAATAATGATAGTAATCGAGCGGCAATTGGTCATAAATGTTGTCGGTATGAAAAGTGAAAAACGCGAAAGTCATGGACAATCTACGTGCTTGCCAGAAAACATCATCTATGTGATAATTTGAAACTGGAGGAGCGTAGTTAAGGTTTGTTAATCTGTGGCGTAGTTGAAACTCCCTGCCTTTACAACACAGTGCTCTATATGCAAGATAACCTATGAATATAGATTTGATCTCATGCGATTCAACAAGATGAAATAGTATCGACCTCCATTAGATATCCTCAAAATGATTCATATTCCATAACTAGAAACCTATAGAAATTCATATGATAATAGAAACAATAGGTGATGAAATAATATCAGCTCCTTTGATAATGGAACATCTCGGAAACTGATTTTGGTTTCAAAAATGTCTTCTTTCATAGTATATTTCTATCACTCTACATTCTTTGATTGAATTAGATTATAAACATTATAGATATCTTCAAAATGATCCATATTTTGTTACAAAAACCTTTATATTATGTAAAAATATGTACAGTATGATGCAAAGGTGTAGAATGAATTTTTGAAACTAGACGACCCTCAGATGTTCAATTCTCAGTAGCAGACCTCTGCAAGAATCAGTTAAACAAATTAGCAATCTTCTAATGCAAAATTTCGACTGTTGGATAGACGAAGCGTAGTCGAACTTTGTTGATCTGTGGCGTAGTCGTAACTAGAAACCTATAGAAATTCATATGATAATAGAAACAATAGGTGATGAAATAATATCAGCTCCTTCGATAATGGAACATCTCGGAAACTAATTTTGGTTTCAAAAATGTCTTCTTTCATAGCATATTTCTATTACTCTACATTCTTCTCATCAAATAAGATTATATATATATATATATATCCATATTTTGTTACAAAAAACCTTTATATTATGTTTATATATGTTCAGTATGATGCATATGTATGGAATGAATTTTTGAAACTAGACTACCCTTAGATGCTCAATTCTCAGTAGCAGACCTCTGCAAGATTCATTTAAACAAATGAGCAATCTTCTAATGCAAAATTTTGACTGTTGGATAGACGTTCAGTAGACCCATCAGATGAGGTGTCACATGGTCCCTGTTTGTATTTGAAAAAATCGTTTATTTCGTCATTTCTCCAGCACCGGTGACGTAACATCTTCATATCATGGGATGAGGCTTCAAAAATTATAACATGTTTTTGGATTTTTTTCAAAGGTCACCCATTTCTGGAATGAATCTATTCCATAATTTTGCATCATACTGTAAGTTGTTTTCTTATTACTCTATATTCCTCTCATTAAAATAATATGGTAAATTGTATGTTGTTGATAATACTAATTAACGAAAACTGAGTGCATTCACTATTACGTATCTGATTACGTATCACATAATTAGGAATCTGTCGGGACATGCTTCTATGAGAGTTTATTTAATATAAGGCTCGATATAGTTTATTCATTTAGAAATAGCGAGTGATTCTATTTATTCGTGCAGAGATATTACATATTATGTGAGTGCGAATTTGCTAGAATTATTGTTCAAAGTCTCCAGAGATATTTTGTGAACCTTTGTTTGCATTTCCAAAATATTGCTACATTTCTGGAATCTATTCCTCACA